CAGTGGTTTGTCTCACCTCACGTTCTCCAGCCAAGGCCCTTTTAAACTGGGCAGCTCAGGACATTGTCCCTTGCTCTGGGTGGTAGTGCCTCTCCAAAGGGGGCAGCTTCTTGTCGCTGCTTCCTAAGTCAGCTTGGGCTTTGTGACTGCTTTAAGCCAGAATACAGCAGGGTCAAATCGGGGTACTGCTGGGTCTCTACTGAGCCCGGAGAGGACTAGTGATTTCCCCCTGTTCATGGAGTCCTGAGCCACCATTTAAGAAGTCTGGGCCAGCGGAGCGTGGTGGTGCACGCCTGTAATCCCAGCACTCAGGAGGCCAAAGCAGGAGGAACACCGTGAGTTTACATAGTGAGTTCCAGGCCAGCCTGCACTACAGAGAGAGATGCTGTCTGGAAAGACAAGACAAGCAAGTGTAGGCCACACCACTGGAGAAAGAAGCCATATGGAGGAACCATGAGCTGTGTTAGTCAGATTTCTGTAGCTATGGTTTTTGTTTTGGTTTTTTGTTTCCTTGTTTTTTGAGACAGGGTCTCACTATGTAGTTGAGACTGCCCTGGAACTCACTATGTAGCCCAGGCTGGTCTCGAACTCACAGCGATCCTCCCGCCTCAGACTCCCGAGTGCTGGGATTACAGGCGTGCGCCACCACGCCTGGCAGATTTGTGTAGCCTTGATAAAATACTTATGAGAAACAAGTTAAATGAGGAAAAGTTTACTTCGCCATGGTTCCAGAAGCTGCAGTCCATGGACGGCTGATTCTGTTGTCTTGGGCCTGTAGTGAGGCAAAACATCATGGAGGAAGCTTGTGTGGAGCAAAGCTACTCACCTCACAGCAGCCAACAGACAGAGAGAGAGAAGGGGCGAGGGTCCCAATAGCCCCTCAAGGTACACGCCCAGTCAACTAACTTCCTTCCACTTCTCTAAAGTTTCTCCCAACAGCGCCATCTGCTTCAACACATGGCCTTGGGGGGCCATTTCTGATCCTGGCCAGGCCACCCCAACCAGATGGACCTTCAGGCGATCACAGTCCCAGCTTCTGTCTAACGCAACTGCACGGAGACTCCGAAGGAAGAACCCCCCACACAACCATGAGACCACACCACCATGAGATCAAAATAAATGATTGCTATAAACTCCTAAATCTAACCATTAGTTATGCCGAAGATTCTGAAAGATTTATCCCTAAAATCCCCTGTCCCATCTGTACTTGCTGGCTGTTTGGGACCTCAGATCTCCAAATCCACAGTCCCTCTCTAAGGATCTGACCCAGTGGCTTTCCTGGTGACCAACCCTGGGAACAGACAGAGTTGCTCTTTCTGGGATTGGTAAGAGACTCTTAAATTAAAATCAACAAATACTTGTAAAGCAGCTAGATTTTAGTGGCACTCCGAGGAGTCAGAAGCAGACTGCACCTTTGTTTTGAAAAGCATTTAATAGCTTTCCAAGTACCCTGGCCTGGCTAAGCTCCTCTCACCCATGACAACCTCGAAAAGCAGCATCCCCAGCATTCCTTTTGTTGTTGAGCAGGAAATGCCGTCACACTCGTCACAAACAGGAGTGGCAGAACCAAGGCCAGAAGCCAGGTTGTCTGACCACCTGTCCATAGGCTTCAGTGCTACATCTCTGCTGTCCCCAAGCCACCCCCGATAGCAGTTCTGGACCCAGTCAGGCCCATTTTTCAGAGGTTGGAGGAACAGAGAAGAACAGAAGGACACAAACTAGGCCATCGCCTGTGTCACTATGGGCGCTGGAGTCACTTCCTGGATTCACCCGTGGCTGTGCCCTTGCTCGTAATAATGTGGCCGTTACTTAGCTGCCGTGAGCTCAGGAGGAGGGGCCATGTTTTGTGACTGCCTGGCCTGATAGTGCACAGCAGAAGCGACCCTCTGTAATTTTGGAATCCAGATCGCAAAAATATATGCCAACTGCTGATCAAGGAACCACAGCATGAAGAGGCAAATGAAGTCACCCAGGTCACTGGAAGCAGAGGTAGGGCCAGAAGAAAACTCCACATTTTTCTGGCACACATCTCTAGGTTCCTGGTGTGGCTGAGGGGCCAGCGAGCATCAGGAATGAGAGCTGGGTAGTATTTCTTCGAGGTGTGCCGGCTCCCTGCCCAGAAACAGAACTTTTAGAGAAATGGTGGTTTCAGAAATATGGAGAGCAGCATGGACCACAGAGTTGCTGGTCGTCAGGAGAGGAAGTTCTGAGCAGGGTCTACCATGGCAAGAGTAACCAAGGAAGAAACAGAGACAAATTCGTTGACAGAATCCAGGATCCACAGAAAACCGTGAAGAAGTTTCAGTGGGATAGAGCAGCCCTGCCTGGATGAGTGACCCGGATGTCGCAGACTTTCAAAGTACCTTGCAGGATGGCCCACCTGTCCTTCCACACTGACCACCACCCTTTCCTCCTCTCCCATGACGACTTCTTCCTCCAGCCCCACTTCAGTGGAGATGATACTGGCCCATCTGTACACAGGGGCTTCACACATTACCTAGCGTGCCGTGCTCCCCGGAAATGATGTGTAGAAGCCCTACTCCCTGGTACCTGTCGCTATGACCTTATTTGTTTTGTTTTTTGGGACCGGGGATCGAACTCAGGACCTCATGCTTGCCAGGCAGACGCCGTGCCAACAAACTACATCCCCGGTCTGGTGTGAAAACGGCACTTTGGAAATAGCACTTTCCAGATGTCATCAAGAGAGAAAAGGTCCTATTACTTTAAGGTGGGCCCTATACCCGATGGGACGGGTGTCTGTACAAGAAGACTCTGAGAAGAAACACAGACACCCAGGGATGAAGCCATGTGACCAGAGAACCAGAGATTAGAGCAATGCCTGGCAAACCAAAGAATACCAATTTCTAGCAGCCACCAGAAGCTGAGGAAAGCAGGAAGGATTCTTCCCTAGATCCTTCAGTGGGAGTGTGGCCCTGCTGATACCTTGATTTGGGACTGCTGACCTCCAGGACTGTGAAAGAATAAACTCTTGTAATTTTAAGCCATGCAATTTATGCTGATTTATTTATTTTGTTTTGTTTCATGAGACAGGGTCTCACTGTGTAGTTCAGACTGCTCTGGAACTCACTGTGTGGCCCAGGCTGATCTTGAACTCACAGTGATCCTCCTGCCTCAGCCTCCCGAGTGCTGGGATTACAGGCATGCGCCACCACACCCGGTTTATGCTGATTTATTATTGTAGCCCCAGCACACTCATCATAGAGCCCGTTTACATCTATCAGGTGACTTGCTCTTCCTGGCCACCCTGCTAGTTGCTATATGTTCCTCTCTGTGACAGTCAGATTTCACGATGGCCCCAGGGGACCCCTGTGTAGTTCCTTTCAACACCAAAGAGGGCCTGCCTGTGTAACCACTAGGATAGTGTGGAAATGACGTCCTGCATGGGCCTTGCCTGCTTGGACCACTTCTCTGGGGAAAGGCCAACAGGCAGCTTGTGGAGCGGTCTATGTGGTGAGGACCTGCAGCCTCAGCCAACAGCCAGCTTCACGTGACCAAGCCCCCCTCGAGCCAATGATCCCACAGAGGCAGTGGATCCTGCAGATGACTGCTGCCCTGGCCGACCTGTAGAGTGCAGCCCCACAAGACATCCTGGTCCAGGACTGGGGATTTAGCTCAGTGGCTAAAGGCTCAAGGCCACCTGCCTTGCAGATACAAGGTCCCAAGTTCAATCCCCAGTACAAAAAAAAAAAAAAAAAAAGAAGACCGCCTGGTCCAGACCCTCCATCCGAGTGCTTGTGCCCTGTTCTGTGTAGCTAACTCACACATCTTTCCCACCTGATAAGGTGCAGCTTACATAGCGGTTAAGAGTCAAAATCAGAAGTAAACCATCACTGAACTAGCTACTGACCTTGAATATTGTTTCAGCCTCCCTGAGTATCCTCATGTAGTTGGTAGAATAACTCCTCCTATCTTTTGTTTTGTTTTGGTGCAGTACCAGGGGTCGAACTCAGGACCTTGTGCACCACTAAGCTAAACCCCTGGCCCTAATTGCTCCTATCTAATAAGAATGTTGGGAGGGATCAAGAAGTTAGTGTATAGCTTCTAATAGTTCTGTTTGGTGTTATGATATGGGTCAGAAAGCCGTGTAAGGGAGTAAAAAGAGCTATGCACCCCAGTCACTCCAGGGCAGGCTGAGTCCTGAACCCAGGTCTCTTGACTCCCTGAACAGGTCCTCCTATTCTAACCGGATCCCAAGAGCAGAATGGCAGAGGTAGGCAGATGTCCTGTGAGTTTAGAATCTGTAGAATTGCCAAAGCTGTGCATAACGGCGCAGGCCCGTAATCCTGCTGCTACTCGGGAGGTTGACGCAGGAATGACTGCAAGTTGAAGGTCAGCCTCGGCAACTTAGTGAGAAAAAGAAAGAAAGAATAAAGAAAGAGAGAACAGAACTTCTAGAAGTCCTGCCCACTGCAGGTCACTAGTGTCGGTGCCTTGTCCACAGCTGGCTGTGTACCCTGTGTTGAGGTCAGGGAGAGCAGTCGGTGGGGCCAGACTGTAGCTCGGTCCTGGCACAGGGAAAACAGCTCCTGGTGCCCTGTGGGAACGCTGTTAGGAAGGTGCACAAAAGCAGGTCGACAGCGGGCTGAGCTTTCCGTGAGCGCCTTTTTGGATCACATTTCATGCCACAGCAGGTCCAAGGACAGGGAAGGAGCCAGGCTGCTGCTTGCAGACCTAGTTAGGAACGACCAGGAGAACGAGACAACTGTTTTGAAATGCAATACGGTATTAGGGCGAAAGGGCTGCTGGGAAGAAATCTCTTTTGCACCAGCTTCGGTAGTTTAAACTGATCAAAATGACCTTGGATGAGCACAGGCCCAGGAGCCATGGGCTTCCCTACGAGAAGTTCCTGCTCTCTTTTCCCTTTTGTGCCTGTAGCCTCTACCTCACACTCGATAGCAAGAAGCAGAGAGCCATTCTGTGGTGAAACCAGGAGGGCAGTAGGGCAGCAATGAGAAAAGTCAGTGGCAAGTGAATTTTACCTTTGAGTGAGCAGTATCGCCTATGAAAATTGGATGCAAAGAACCTCCAGGTGTGCTTGTAGCGGTCTGATGACTGCTGGCCAGGTGTAGCCCTTTGGAAAACATGGAGGCAGGTTACTAGGCGTCATTCTCCCCAGATGGTCATCACCAAGACATAAAATGTCCCGTAGTAGCATCCAAGGCCCTCAGGTCACTGGCTTGCTGCTTCTCTGCAGCGTGACCATTTCTGGAAGGAGGAGCTTGTGTGCAAAGGGGCAAGACCAGATGCCAACAGAAAATAACCCAATGATAAGTCCCTTCGATGTCCAGGAAGAGGACCCATCTCCAGAAACACGCATTGAAATTCTGCCCCCAGAAGTACATGCATTTAATCAGATTGCCCTCCTACTACACACCGTCCAATAACAGCTGCCTCAGCTCTGCTTTTAGCATTAACTTCCTATCCAAAATGTATTTGGAGCCGGGCGTGTAGTCCCAGCACTTGGGAGGCTGAGTCAGGAGGATCACCACAAGTTCAAGGCCAGCCTGGACTACACAGTGAGACCTGGTCTCAAATAAATAATAAATACGAACCAAAATGGATTTGTTTTCAGTAGCTCTCACTTTATGAGACCTCAATTACCTGTTGTGCTTGCTAAAATAGATTCTGAACTAACAGGTTCGGAAATCTAGAAGCTCCCAGGCAACTGTGAAGAAAGTGAGCCTTGAGCTTCAAGGAACCGGGCAGCCCTAGATGGGAGATTTTCAGGCAGGGCTAGAAGATAGGTGGGGAAGGGGACAAGAGAACACGGGAAAGGAGATGTCTGGTAGCAACCAGGGTGTTTGGTGACCACTCCTTCTCCAGAAGTGGGGCGGAGATCCACTACTCAGGAGGAATCAGAGAAAGGCCGGCCTCTCACCTCCGGGAATGCTTCATTCTGGACCCGCCTTGGTCCCCTTCTGCTCATCCTCCAAAGTCCACTGTTCTCCAAACAGGGGCGGCCCTGCTCCGTCTGGCCAGAGCCCTTCACAGGGCCGTGTGTGTCCCTGTGGTGCTTTTTATCCCGCCATTAAGTTACTGGTACACTTAAAGCAAATAATACAGTTACAGTTTTCATTGGGACCTTGTACCTTTACATGATATGTCTTGGTTCTTATTTTTCCCCATACTCCTGCTCTCCCTTGACGCCCTTCACCCTTCCCTAACCCTGTGGCGTTTTGCCTGTTTCTTCTTCCTTTACTTCTAGCTGATTTTAGCAATTCTTTCCAGCCTGGCCTCACTGGTTCCCAAAGCCAGTGCACACCTTTAAGCTGTCTGGGGGTGTGGGCGTCCAGCAGGTTCAGAGGCTCCTCGCCTGTGGATCGAGAACCAGTGGTCGGAAAAGGGGTCCAGGTATCTGCTGTGTAAACAAATAACCCGCCCCACTCCGAAGCTCACAGCGCACTTCGAGCATACCCATGCGCCAGGCCCCTACCATGCATGTGGTGCTGCTTTCTCCCGCCCAACTGCACAGCAGCAGGGAAGGAGCCAGAGACAAACAGCTCCCAAATCACCGAGCTCCACCAGCAGCTCCCGGGTTGGTGGCTTCGTTCTATTTCCATGTGATCCTTCCAGGCAGGGGTTCTTATCCCATTCTACAGATGGGCAAGCTCTGTGCTCTTTAGACTCCTCTCCTGTCCTTTCCAGCTCTGTGAACTTTCTGTGCATCAGCATGTGACCCCGGATAAGCTCTGTCCCATCCTGGCCTCTGGATCTAAACCCCAGATCATAAACCCCAGGGTTTTCTGAGAAGGGCTCTCCAAAACCAGACTTAAGTCTCTTCTTCTAGGTTGGGCTTGCTTACGGCTCTAACCTTTCGTCACTCAAAGTCATGCTGTTTATTGCTTCCATCGCAGAACTTGAAAAAGAAAAAAGGCACTCAGTGGAATCCCCCATAAACTGGATTTAACTGGGAGGAATGATACCAGAAAGGCTACGAATGTGTTAATGTGGCAGGGTGGATATGGGGACAAATCGTAAAACTGAAGGAAAAGGACTGTGGGCCTGTGAGTGACAACAAGAATGAGGGCTGGTGCACCCGAGGGCTGCCCAGGGCCCACTTTAGCATGACCACAACTGCCATTAAGCCCCTCCAACTCGCAGTCAGTGGTTCTAAGCTCTGCCTAATGGCTGAACCCTGCCTTCTCATCAGAGGGGAGGAGAGCAGCCTGGAAACCAAGGGGCTGAAGTTTCAGCTGCTGCCGGCCTTCCAGGGCCCCATCATGCTCCCAGAATAGCGCGCCAGATTCCCGGCAGCCCAGGCTACCCCGCCGCTGGCTTCCGGAGAGGGAGACAGTCAATCCCCAAGTAGTGTTGCTAACAGCCGGGACTGGCCTCCACCCAGAAGCCAGCTGGCTGGTTGTGCCCTGCCTGCCCGCCCCTCCCTGCTGGAGGCACCGTCCTGGTGAGCATGGGCATGTCTGCCCCATGCTCCATGTCCCACTAACCAGCGGGGATTGTGACCCCATCACCAGAGGTCTGGCCTGGGTTCAAGAGTTGGGTGGTCTCAAAGCCTAAGTGAGGGGTCCGGGCAGGGAGAGGGTCTTTTATTTTGTTTTTTAGTTTTTTGAGAAAGGTCTCTCTGCATAATCCAGACAGGTCACGGTGCTCACAGTGTAGTCTTGGCTGGCCTCAAATTTATGGCAATCCTCCTGCCTCAGCCTCCCAAGTGCTGTGATTACAGGCATGAGCCACCGCGCCCGGCAGGAAGAGGGTCCTTTGAAGACTTTGCTGAATGAGGGAGAGGCTGGTGGAGGCCGCAGAGCATGAAGAGCGCGTGTTAGCACCAGCGGCCATGGCCCACCAGCAGAGGAACAGGGATGCAGAACAAAGAAGGCGGACACGCAGCCCCGCACAGGCAGACAGTGGCCCCATGCGCCGTGGTCCTGGGGCTGGCTGCTGAAGGCAAAGGGACGTTGGAAAATGGGAGCAGCCGGGCCCATCGCTGGCTGGACAGTAGGTCTGCCGGGCCTCTAGGATCTTCCTTAGGCCCCTGTAGATCCTTCTCCAGTCAGTGCCCTTGCAAATGTTAAGTGAGGCTTTGCTATGAGCAAAAGAGACACACACACCTTTTCCCTCCAAGCTTACACCTGAGTTAGGGACAGAACGCACACATAAATAACCATCCCTCATGCAGAAAATGGTAAAGGCTGCCCTCCCCCTTAGAGAAAACGGATAGCCTCTCTCAGCTCTTGGCCAATCAATCCAATCCATCCAACAATCTTTAATGCCCATGGTGTGGGTGTACAAAGCACTATGCCAGGGGCCGCCAGGAAAGAGAGGCCTGGAATCTGGTGCTCATCCCCTTCAGGGCCTGTCACGGAATCGGGGAGGCAGAAGACTTATGCCTAGGCCACAAGGAAGTGGGGAGGGAGGGTGATAGGGAAGAGCGGGTACAATCACGGCGCTCACGTGCAGGTACGGAAACGTCACAGTGAAACCCATTATTCGGTGCGATTAACATATGTTAATAATTATGAGACAAATGCAAATACATAATGAGCAATGCAAATGATGTACAACCAGCAAGTGCGTGCGAGCCAGAGGGGAGCTCCAGGGAGAAAGATTAAGAGGATCACCAGTTTCAGTTCCATAGACCCGAGGGCTTAAAAGGAGGGCATTCTATGACAGGCTGAGGGAAGGGGGCTGGCATCCCAGACTGAGAGTTGGGGAACAAGGTGGGCAAATTATAGCAAGGCAATGAGGGAAGCCTCTTGGACCAGAAAAACCACTTCCTGTGAAGAAGAGGAAGGAGCCCCATTTGGGTACAGGTGGCAGAGGACTTGAATGCCTGGCCCGGGAGTTTGAACTTTCCCTTAAAGGCGTGGAAGATGTCCTGATCAGAGCGCCATAGTGGAGACAGAGACCGGCCCAACGCTGGACGGGGGTTTGCAGAGTGACTGGAGGGGAGATCGCAAGCAAGGTGAGCAGCCTGGGTGTGACAGCAGGTTCATTCGTCCCTCCAGCGTGTTCACAGACTGGACAGACTTCTGAAGGGAGGGCACTGCATGCTGCGTGGTGACACATTTCCTCTTTGGTTTTGGAAGGGCCGGGTGGGTTGAGTGGCCTGAACGCCTGAACCTTTGGCTTTGAGGCCTGGCTCTTAGGACTCACTTAATCTGTTGCTGGAGGCTGGCCAGACCTGGGCAGCTCAGAAAACCTAGTTCTGTTCTCCCCAGGGAGCTGGTTGGTGGCCACTGGGCCATAGACAGGGAAGAAAGGATAAGGGAGATGCAGGTTCTGTGCAAGGGTTCACCATCAGGTGACATTCCAGCGGGTTCTGCCTGAAGCCTGCTTCCGGGCGCATTTCTAGGGGTCACCCATGGGCAGTGGACCATGGTCAATGAATGTCTAACTCACCGGCCCATGGGTCCTTGCTTCTTAAAGGGCCATCATGGCTCCCGAGTCCTCTCAAAAACAAAACAAGGCAATCTCTGCAGCTCCAATCAGGAAGTCCTATGAGCCCCACAGTAACCAGTTAAAACAGGGCCTGGGAGAGGTGAAATACAAACTATTTACCAGTAGGTTGTATAGAGTTCCAGGGAGCCAGGAGCCCCACCCTGAGCTCGGTGAGAGGCTATTCCCACTCCATTGGGGCCGGGCTGCAAGAGCAGGACCCCTGGCCTCCCAAGAATGGGGAGCAGACCTCCCACTCCATGGCTCCCCTAGGCAATTCTGGGAGCTGATTGTCAGGATGCCTGCTCCCCAGGCAAACTGGGAAGTCCGTCAAGGGGACAAACTGACCTGGGTCTCCAGTTCCCAGCCCTGGGCTCTGGGGCAGGGACTTGCTAGCTGGCCCAGAAGAGGTGGCCTTCTTCTGCAGGTGAGGGGCTTACTACTGCCCTGGAAGGCCTCACACTGGGGGGCATATAAGTGGGGCACTGTATGTAAGGCTGGGGTGGGGGTGTCAGCCCCAGAATAGTGGCTATTCCACAAATGAAGACATCTACCACCTGTCAGGCTATGTGCCAGATGCTGGGGACAAGATGAGTGAGATGAATCCCTGCTCTTAATATGGCGAAGTCTAATTTAGAAGGTTAATTATGCTAGGTGTGGTGGCACACGCCTGTAATTCCAGCACTCAGGAGGCTGAGGCAGGGGGATTACTGGGAGTTCGAAGCCAGCCTGGGCTACCTAGTGAGTTCAAGGCCAGCCTGAGCTATATAATCTGTTAAAAAAAAAAGAAAGAAAGAAAGAAAGAAGAAAAGGTTGATTATGACACGATAGGATAAATGATAAATGGATAATGGGTAAAAAGACCACACATGGTGGTCCTTTCTCAGAAATTAAAAATTCTTCCCAGAGGAGGGGATATCAAGGTGGAGCAGATGTTCAAAAATCTTTGTTCAGAAGCAACAGGGGCCAGGAAAGATAGGACTGCGAGGCACAGATGTGATCTCAGAGTATGGTACAACAAGGCACTTCTGCGGATGGTGAAACGGAACGGAGAGAATGGTGAAGTCGTTGCTGCAGGAGTGGGGATTCAAACAGTTGGGCTTCCTGAGCAGGAAGCACGCATGCCAGCTTCGTGGGAAGAACACTTTAAACAGGGTACATTTCGGGGGTGTGTTTTACCCCCGCTTCCTGAGTAGAGGGTAGAAGGAAGTGGGGCTCAGAGAGATGGGGGATTTGCCTTGCCACCCAGCTGGCAGGTGTCACCCAGGGCCTCCTCAAATCTCACACTTCTCAGACTCCTTGATTCGGGGCCCTCTGGAAGCTCAGCGAAGGAATCTGACTGTCTAAATGGGGGGCAGGGGGTGCGAGTGGGGGGGACAGGAACAGCAGTATACATGTTCCTCCACAAGCCAGTAACTTCAGGAGCACTTGGAACTGAGAGTGTTGTTTTTGGAGAAAATGGGCGTTCATCGTGGGTCCCTTGCCCAATGGGTTATTCCATCGGGTGGGGGCACTGGTGACTGTGGCTCAAGTCTTAGAAAGCAGCACGCCGCCACAGAACTGCCCTCTGGTGCAGTCTGGCTGCCCAAGGGGCGCAGCGCCGTGCCCCATGCTCTGACTCACCGGGTCCCCAGCTTGTCTCCCTATTCTGAACGAGCACAGACCCCAGGGGACTAATGCATGGAGAACCCAACAGGGACCCTGGTGACCCAGAGGCCCGGGTCACCTGTGCTGAGGGACTTGCTTGGTGCTTTGAAGGCAGATCTTGTTCCAGAAGGGAGCAGGGTGAACAGGGAAGCTAAACAGTGCTCAGAAACTGCCCTACATTCCACAGCCAGCTGCCTGAGAGGCAGGCTAGAAGGGCAAGGCTAAGCCCCTACATCGGGCTCTTTCCAACACCCCAGCCCTCGCCTCGTCTGGCCAGGCGTGCAGGCAGGCGCAAATGCTGTGGTTTTGGAGAACTTTTACGTGGGGAAAAGAGGCTCACGAAGCTGGAAGGCAAATTATTTTTCTGGTTGTTGTTGTTGTTGTTGTTGTTGTTGTTGTTGTTTGAGACAGGGTCTCACTATGTAGTTGAGACTGATCTGGAACTCACTATGTAGCCCAGGCTGGTCTTGAACTCACAGCAATCCTCCTGCCTCAGCCTCCCAAGTGCTGGGATTACAAGTGTGAGCCACCACGCTCGGCTGGAAGGCAGATTGAAACCACCACTCATCTTCCCCTCCTGAAGGTCCCTGTCTTCCTGTCTCTGTCCCCTGGCTCTTACTGGCCTTTCACATATGCTAGTGACGTCTCCTCCCAGCCGACCGAGTTGGACACTACTTGCCCGGTTAAGGAAAAGTGGTTAGAACCCAGGATGACTTACTTATGCAACACCCTGAGGCCTGGCTGGCCATTTGCCTTTCCAGCCTGGCACCACAGCCCCCAGCCCCACTCAAGGGTTTGTCCCCTCGGCAGGAGGTCCCTGACTCTTAGGGTGGGAGGTGCATTTAGGAGAGGGAAAAGAGGAGTAAGTCACAGCTCTGTGTCAGCCACGCGCTGCTCCAACAATTCTGTGCTTGCCACTTTCCCCAGGGCAGCCCGCGAGGGCAGAGCACAGAAAGAGACACAGGCTTCCCCAAAGTCAGGGCCTCACTGCCAGCCTCCTCGGCTAAGCAAACATTCATTCCCTCCTGGAATCAGAAAGGCCGGTGTTCGGTGTGCGAAGGGAGGAACCGGCCTGAGGTTTATCGCTCCGGCAACTCGGGTGATTCATTGAGTTTAGACTCCAGGCTGTCATAGACGAAGGCAGGCAAACAAACAGCCCCGGTGGTACCCGCCCCTTTCCCTGCCTGCCCCCACCTGGCTGCCCCTTTGCCCGTGACCAGCTGCCTCCCCTCCCCCTCACGAGCACTCAGGGTTGAGCAAACAGCCGAGGCCCCTAGGGCCTCCAGCACACCAACCAGGCCTTGCGCCGCTGGGCCGGCTTCCCAGGGGAAGACGCCGGAAAATCTCTTGTTTACTGGACTAGAAAGATCCCAAGCAGTATTTGCTTCCCCATTTCTGTGGTCCCCTTTCAGCAGAGTCCAGAGCCTGAGGAGAAAGGGTGACAACCGTTGATCCATCCTGGGCAGGAAGTGGGGTGGGGCACAGGGAACCCGAACTCGTGGAAAGGTCCTGGGGCCACGGAAGGGCCAGGACTCAGAGTCGGGGCTAACCTGGCCTGTAGCACAGAGAAAGCGCGGGGGAGGAGGGGTGCCGTGGGGCGGGGCGGGCTGAACACTGCACGGGGGAGCCGAACTGAGAGCGCTAATTAAGACAATTCCGAACCGGGACGCGGGGCGCAAGGAGAGGAGCGTGCTTCGAGTGGGCCGTGTCTAGAGCTGTCGCGCGAAACCCGAGCGCGGGGTAGTCAGGCCCTGGGCGGCGTTTGCCCAAGGTACCCCGCAGCTGTTCAGGGCTCTGCCCCACGAGGTTGGGGGCGCGCGCAGGTGGCGTTCCCCCGCAATCTCGGGACCGAAGTCTCAGGGAAGGTCGCGCGCGCGTGGAAGAGGTGGACGCTCGGTGTGGGGTGTCCACGTGTGCAAGCTCCGGAGGGAAGCGCTCGAGGGAGGCGTGACAAAGACGGACTTTGTGTCCTGCGGGTGCGCCTAGCTCCAGCCCGGAGCAGCCGACAGTGCCCGGCGATTGTCTCAAGGGACAGCCGGGACGGAGGGGACAAAGGCTGGGTGTCCGCCACCAGAGAGCCGCGCCAAAGCAGCCCTCGCGCAGTCGGTTGCGCGAGACCGCTAGGAGATGAGGAGTTCGAGAGCCTGCCCCGGGGGCGAGCCGAGCTGTACCCCAAACAGCTTTCCAGAGAGAAAGCCGAGTCCCGTAAGTGCGCGCGAGTGTGCGCGCGCCCGCGTGCGGGGGGCGTGGCAGTAAACAGCAACAACCCGAAGCCAGCTGGGGCCGAAACTCCGATCTCCCTTCCCGGCCCGACTGTGCGACTCGCCGAGCCTGGAGGTGAGTCGCGCCTCGAGGGCGGGGCGGGCTTTGTCACCGTGTAAACGGATTTCACGTACCTGGAGCTCGGCGGGCGCTCGGTGAGCGCCCTGAATGGAGGTGATGTCACGGTGATGCAGGCCGGCCCAGCCTCGCCGAAAGAAAGGAGCGAGGAGCGGAG